TGAAAAAATGGACGAGAATAACCTTTTTGGCAATGAAAGGTGAAAGGTAGGGGTGAAAATGCTAAAAAATGAAAGGTAAGGACGTTTTGCACAATAACATTGAAAGGTAGGGACCTTTTGTGCTAATTATGCCAAAAAATGAAAGGTAGGGACGTTTTTCACAATAATATTGAAAGGTAGGGACCTTTTGTGCTAATTATGCCAAAAAATGAAAGGTAGGGACGTTTTTCACAATAATATTGAAAGGTAGGGACCTTTTGTGCTAATTACCTTTTGATTTAACGGAACATTTTAACGGAGAGTTGACAGAAGGACGTTTTGCGCAAAAAAAGCTAAAGGTAAGGGTGTAATCCGCCAAAAAACGAAAGGTATGGACGTTTTCCACAAAAAACATCAAAAGGTAGGGACGTTTTGTGCTAATTACCCTAAATTTTTAATCTCTATGAATCTTGCGAATTTTCTTTGGTGGAGCTTCATCTTCGAAAAAGTCTTCTGCCTCAGGCCCTAACTCTAAGTCCATCTCAACTTGTGGCTCAGGTTCATGCTCATGATCATTCTCTAATTCCAACACAAAGTCATTCTCATGCTCTCATTTCGGATGTTCCCCTGGGTCTGATTCAAACTGAGGTTCAGGCTCGGGCTCAATTACTATCTCCGGTTGAGGTTCTAAGCTCTCGCTTCACTTGTCTAGAACGATCTGACAATATATACCAAATTCAATCGTATTTGGATGCTCTGAAGGGTTAACTTCTAGCATCTCATCCCTAACCATGACTCTCATATTTCTCCATTGAGGTGGGAGTGAATGTATGAGGTTATTCACAACCTCGATATGCGTGATCTCTAGTCTTGCATCTACAGCTACCATACATCTTCATAGATGTCATGTACGTAAATTTTTTTAGAATGAGTTTTATGCATGTAACGACTATTGACGTGAAATTTTTTGGCAAAACTTTAAAAGTAATGTTGTTGTTTTAGTTTTAAACTCCAACGGTAATTGTTAAAATAAATTCGCTTGCATAGCTATCAACCTCGAAATTTCATGAAATTTTTATGTGAAGTATAAAACTCCTTATAATATGACATATCCAAAAATCAGCTCCCGTCGACAGCATATAGGGTACAAAAATATTTTCCAAATTCCCGAAGCAACTCGGGTTGGAAGGTAACCCAGCGCAACTTACCTTAAGTGTCATATAAAATTCTACACGCATCGAATCGACATGATTTTAACTATACTCAGTAGCTAACCCCTGAGACTAACAGACCCTAATTGGTATAGTCCAAAAATTTCAAGTAATGTGTGAGTTATAAATTTTTGAAAACCAAGGGCAGAAGCCGAAAAAGGCGCACTACCTGGTGCAGTTTACTTATGCAGCATATAAAATTCTACCGACATCGGATTGACATGATTCCAAGTTCATTCAGTAGCTAATTTACGAGGCATCCAACGCCACTCTATTTGTATAAAAATGCCAAGTAACAAAAGAGTTATGAATTTGTAAAGATGAGGCAGAAACTGAAAATTTTGAAGAGATAGAAAAACTTTAAAATCGCTTTTACTTATAGTTCCATCATTTTGAAAAATAACATGTTCGCAAATTAACTTTACTATACATAAAATAAATCTTTACCGTCGGGTCAAAACTATGGGAAAACATTAAATAATTTATCCAACTTCATCGAAAGAATTTTTAAAAACATGTATGGTGGCTAGAAGGGTTGAACGTTGAAACACCATAAGGTTGTAAATAAATTTATTTTAAGACATATTGAACTAGTATTGGGCTTTTCATTTCTTACGTGGCCCGAGCATAATGTTCATCTATGGGCTAGGCTCGTGGTGCTAGATCATCACATAGAAAATGAGCCTAATTTCATTTTGTTTTTTGGGTTTCTACATTATCAAACCTTTGAAGGATCCATTTTAAAGTTGAAAAAGCGCTCAAGTAAGTAAAGATTGTTCGGGATAGATTTGAGCAAATACAACTCTTCCATTTTTTTCCAAAATTCTTTGGTGATTTTTAGTTTACCCACCTTTCTTAAAATGGTTTCAGACAAGTGTAAGATGATTGAGGTATAAGCAAGCTCATTGGATTCATCTTTTTGTTCTTTTAAAAAATCAGCTAGAAAATTATTTTCAATAACTTTTGAAACTTTTTGTTGAACCAAAATACCCTTTATTTTTTGTTGCCAGATTGAAAATTCACATTTTTCGTTAAAAATTCTCAAATCGAAGTTGTGAGTTGTCATTTTCATGAATCAATCAAAAAATTCACAAATCACAGGCAAAACACACAAAGTAGTCCTAAAGTCACAAATAATATACTCCGTTCTAAATTCACAGGGTTTCGTAAAGCTTGCGGTCATAGATCAAGGGAATGTTTGAACGGGTAAGGACTTGATATTCTAACGGAATTAATGATGCAATGGAATTGACAATGCAAGAAAAATAGATATGTCTAATCAAAAGAAATTTCACAATAATTCTAGCACAAAGAACGAAAAGCTAATTTATCACAAAATAAGTAATCAATCATAACAATTAAGAGCAAGTAATCCTAATTTTTAGCACAAGCAATGTTATACCTTCATGATAACCACAATCATATTGCCACCCACATGGTGACATGTTAATGCTAAAATTAAATGAGACAAGCTAATTTACCAGAGTAAACCTATCTAAGTCCATAAATTACAAAAGATGTGAATTTACTGCTTTATGACCATCACTATTCGTCTTAAAGGTTCAGCAAATATACCAATGTAATCTGCCACGAATGCAAATTGATATCTAAGGGCAAAATTGTTCAAGTTTTCTTGCATAACTTGAAACACAAAAAACATAAAATCAGTGCGTTCAGGAGGTCAAAATAAAGAAACTGCTCGAAAAAAGCTCATCGAAAAACTCCTCCACAGGCCGTCACACGCCCCACCACCAGAGCTGCTTCCTCCTGCTGGTTATGGTTCTAGCCTCCCTTCGTCCAACGGAGGTCTCGTTTGGCCAACAATCAAGATTTTCGGATTCAGGTATAGGAGAAAATCATGCATTTCTTCGCAATTCTGATAGGTTTGGTCAGATTTTCCCCCATTTCGCTCTGATACTAGATGTGGAGGGAAAATTCATAACCACCAAGAGGTTACTGAGCTCAGTTAACCATTGAATCAACACCACAAACAAGCAATAACCTAAACACCCAACCAGATTCTTTCCCCTTACGGTTGCTATTGGATTACCCACAATAAGACCACAAAGGAAAGCCAATCTCACACAAGAATCAACCACAAAGGTAGCAGGAGTAAGCCAACCGAAGATGGACATAGTAGTAAAAAAGAAGAAGATGCTGCAAAGTTGTAACTTGAAAGCAGTGAAGGAGTCAGGCCATATAACCAAAAGAGGTAAACAAATAAGGTAAGTTAGGTTAGGTTAAGATAGTGGCCCAAAAGGCCCAGTACAAGAATAATGGGCTACTCAAGTGGGTACCATTATTTAGCTATCCAAGTGAGTGGGTTAGGCCACGAGCAACTTTACTAAATTAGGTTGCCTCGAGTGGTCCACAAAGTTGGGGTTGGGTCATCCCATTTGCCGTGTTGACATATCGTTCAGTCATTTAGTCTAGCTGACTAAAATTAAAATCGAGTTAAGATCACGGCTCACGGAAATCATTTGACAATGAATTGCCTAAAAATTGGGACAGAAAAACTTTGTATCAGCACCTGTTTCATTTAAGGTAGATGGAGTGGAGGTAGGGTTAAAGAAAATCCGTGGACTTCTCACTTTCCTCAAGGTCCATAATGCCGGACACTGGATTCCAATGGATCAAAAAGCATCACTAGAAAAGCTAAAGAAATGGATGTAAGGCATTCCCCTGTAAAGAACAGTAGCACAAACCCCCATTATTGTAATGATTTCTAAATAAAAGTTTCTTCAATTCATGTTCATTTACCGATTGAGAGATTGGTCTAAAAAGATCTTTTATCCTTATTATAGAACTGACAGTGATCGTTATTGGGCGAGAAAGTTTAGATTAATCATATGATAAAGTCTTCTACTATCTATACTTAACCTTAAAAACTTACAAATCATTGCTTAATCTCTTTTAGTTTTTACATCAAATGTACCAAATCCAAAAGCAACAGCACAGAAGCACTCCACCGAAAGGAAACAGACTAAAAGTTCACTTAGCAGCTTTTAGCTCTTTAATGTTCTCCTAGGTAAAATCTGGATTATCTCCTCCAAAATGACCATAACCAGCAGTCTTCTGATATTAAAGTTGCCATCCCTTTTCAGGTCCAAATTTAGAGCAACCATTCCTAGCCTAAAGTCGAAGTTCTCCTTAATAAGCTTCTATATAAACTTAACCCATAATTTCTTTGTTCCAAATGTAAAGATGAATACTGACAATGCTTCTTGAATACCAATTGCATATGACGACTGCATGGTATATCCAGGGGCAAATCCAACATCAAAGTTCAGCTAGGGCAGAGCTTGACCGTTGATCATTTACCATCGACAATCAACGATCATAATAGCCTGGTCGTTTATTAAAATTTGATTAAATAATATTAAAAATTATTCAATATATATGTAAATGCACTAAAAAAAAGTACTAAGTGCATATAGATTGAATTGAGCCCAACATCTTCTTAATTAATTTTTTCACTTATCTTAATATCCTAGACATAATTTTCAAATCAATAATCATAATTCATAAATGATAACTCATAACTCATAAAACATAAATTATTTATCATAATTCATAAATCACAATTCTCAGAAATAACTCATAAAACATAAATCATAAATAATAATAATAATAATAATAATAATAATAATAAAAAATTGCCTATAGGCTAATAACACTAATAAAAAACAAATTTATCATAACTCAAATGTGATTATTGATTAATAAGACTAATAACACAAATTACAGTCAACACTCAACATTCAACGACTCAAGTGAAATTTGAAAGTAATTGAAATTTAATAACACAAATTAAATCTATTATTGTTCTAATTTCGTGTATTAATTAGTAATTTTAAGCTTCAAAGGTAGAATTCATTTTGCATTAGAGTCCAATCCAATATAAAAATTCAGTAAGCAAATTCAAAACCAATAACATAGTTCCAACTTCCACGTCGTCAATCCTTTACAGTCCCTCTCTCTTTCACTTCTTTATTTCTCTTTCCTTGTACTGTTATACACATCAAACTCTTATTACAATTACTTAACTCCAAATAATTAATCCTATTTCAGTGAAATATTTTGTTTCCTTAACAAAATCAAAAAAACAATAGAGAAAGAGAATAAGAGAAATGTACGCTCACCAGTCACCTGTAGACTGCTCGAATAAAAACGTCATTGACGACGACTCCTTATCCTCTTCCTCGACGCCTCGCCCGTGGTGTCGCGTCAGCAGCAAGAGCTAGCAGCAAAGTAGTGACCATCATTCGCAGTTCGAACTTCGCACAAATTGCAAGCGCAGCTGCTACTTTTGCTTCGAATGGAAATTTTGGAATTGGGAAAGGGTTTGCGGTTGGTTTCAGGCTTTCAACCTTCAGCTTCAACCTCAAGTTTGCCTTTTACGAATTTGAAATTGGATTGGGGTATTGGATTTGGACTTGATTTGGGGGAAATACCATGGACCATGATTAATTGATTTGGGCCTAATGTTTTTAAATAAAAAGAGGCCCATGTCAATAGTCAGCAGCCCAAACAAAAAAAATGAAAAATGGGTCATCTTCTTTCTTTCCCTCTTCCTCCATCTCTGTAAACTGTAAGTCTGCTAATGTCCGGCGCCCAGCAGTGCTGAACATTCTGGTGGATCCATCACGGGCGGCCGTCGGTGCTTACCAAGTGCTGGATCCACCCCTGGGTACATCAACGAGCAACCCCAGAGGTTTGAGAATTATATTGTTTCCAAGAGGTTTGGCATTAGCACATTATATTAAACAACATGTCCTATTAAAGATAGAGATGTTTTTATGTTCCATTTTAATGAGCTTTTAAAGAAAATATATTTTGAAATAGTGAATTTTTTGGAGAATGTGTGGTTAAAAAAGAAAAAAAAAACTTTTTGATTTACGTGTAATATTATTTTATTGAAGAATTTGTGATTAAAAAAGAAAGAAGAAAGTACATTTAAATTTTAATGGAGCCCAAACATGGACTAAATTTGAATTTAGCTGGCGATTGATTAGATAGCAATGCCACATGGATAGAAAGGATTTCTATTTTAGCAACATTATTTAGCACACAACCTAGATGATACTAATAAGAAATCCAATTAAATGAGTTACTTTATTCTAACTTCACGATTGGATCACGTATTATCACCTAAATCAATGGTATATAACCAGTAGATGATACTGGTTATAATCTAGATGATACTAATGAGAAATCTAATTAAATAAGTTACTTAATTCTAACTTCAAGATTGGATCACGTATTATCACCTAAGTTAATGTTATATCACTATTAGTGCTAAATAACATTATTATTTCTATTCATGCATCACCTAGATAGCATTTTATAAAATATATTAAAGATGGTTTTAATAGCTTCCACTTTGTATTGGGCGTCCTTTTTTCCCCTTCAAGTTTCAATTTTGCGCGGCACTCATATTCATCATCTTTAACATAGAAAAAGGCATGCTATTAAAATAATTTATATTTTATGCAAATCTCTTCTCCACATCAAAGAAATGCAGGATTTGAGGTGAAAATAATTTTAATTTCACTTTCTGCACTTTTTACTGTATATATACATAATAGAGTAAAATAAAAAAATATTTTGGTATATATTAAACAAATATTTTACATGCATTGATCCACGTGGTGCTAAATTAATTGGCAAGATGAAATCTAGACAAAATCTCACTATTTATTATTACATAAACATTTAACACAGTTCAAAGATGAAGCCAAGATAGAACAAAATTTCATGCTTTCTTTCTTTTTTAATGGAAATTTGTCCACAGATTTGAAAGCTTTTCAATATTTTTCATGTATTAGTTTCTCAATAACTTCCCATACATTTGACCTTTATACTTCACTAGAAAAATCATTTTTTGAAAAAGCAAAACTCGGTTTTGAGCTCTTCCCTTAGTTTTTTTTTTCTAGTTTATTTTCAATGAAAAATTTCATACATGCATTGATCCACGTGGTGCTAAATTAATTGGCAAGATGAAATCTAGACAAAATCTCACTATTTATTATTACATAAACATTTAACACAGTTCAAAGATGAAGCCAAGATAGAACAAAATTTCATGCTTTCTTTCTTTTTTAATGGAAAATTGTCCACAGATTTGAATATTTTTCATGTATTAGTTTCTCAATAACTTCCCATACATTTGACCTTTATACTTCACTAGAAAAATCATTTTTTGAAAAAGCAAAACTCGGACGTAAAAATTTTGAGCTCTTCCCTTAGTTTTTTTTTTCTAGTTTATTTTCAATGAAAAATTCCATCAACAGATTAATTTTGAATGTAAATTCAAAAATTTCTCCTCCTTTTTAATCACACATTCTAAAAATAATAATTTTCACAAACTCTAGCATAAAAAAAAGTGGGGCTTGAATGTGGGCCAAAGCATGTTTTGAAAGTTTTTATAAATGATTTAAATTATAAATATATAAAAATGAATAACAAAATAAGTGGATATCGCTTATAAATTCATCGAGATATGTTAATGAAAAGTGAATTTAATATTTATAAATAATTTATAAACAAAAGCCAAATATAGGCATCTTATTTAATTTTCTTTTCTTTTCTATTTTTTTGTTTTATTTAAATAGGAAGTTATATGTGTCATTTTACATTTTTTAATTGAAAAATTGGATGAAAATAATGATCTTCACAACTTAACGTGAAAATAAGGATGAAAATGCCAAAAGATAAAAGGTATGGATGCTTTGCACATAACATTAAAAGGTATGGATATTTTGTGCCAATTACCCAATTTAAGAAAGGTATAAGTAACAATATGTATAGAGGCACAAGTCTTTGCTCTTAATTGAACTTCTTGATCATTTCATTTGTGGTAAAATCTGTAGCTTTTTGAAATAATAATGTCGTACCAATAGTGTTGCTTAGCACCGATGTATGTAAAAGTGGTGCTAGCACTAAACAACATTACTCGTTCTGAAATGGTAAATTACTTTCCTATATAATGATAAATTACAAGGAGGATCCTGATTCACATATGTAAGAATTTTTATAAGTTTTTATGCATATACATTGTATGTATTTAAATTTGTGTGTATAATGCAAAATAAAAATGACTTGTTTTGAGATGTTTAAATTATAATTTAGAATAATGCTATGCAATCCCACTAGGATTACATCCCCTGTATAGGTGGCACTAAATGATATGGTGAAAGAAAAGTAAAATAAAATAACTTATTTAATTCCATTTATCATTTAATGTCACATTAATGTCTCTAGATTAGGGTTGTAACTCTCAAATCTGTAGAGAAGAATGAATAATAAATTTTGGGTATAGATAATGTGTATATGAAATAATTGTTTGACCAACTTAAATTAGAGTTTAAGTTAATTTATTTATTTATTTATTTTGTAATAAGAAATCAGATTATGAATTTTATTTCTGATTACAAAGTAAGGATTTTTCATATTATGTAAAATTATTAAGATGTTATATAATATTATACTAATAGTTAAAAATCCATTGAAATCCAAAGAATCCATTATAATCAATGTATATAATTCTTAAAATCTTACGAATTCTGTTGAATTCTATTAAATGCATGAAATCCATGAGAATCTATAAATTCCGAATCAAAGATGCCATATCCTTAGTTTCAATTTCAAAATCATTCTTTCGACAATGGAACTAGCAACTTTTCATTTATTTTTCCCTCTATTTTTCCTTCTCCCATTCCTTTGCACACTTTCATTTGCAGAAACCATGGAATTCCCAAAAACACGAGCAGAAAAGATGATTAGAGGATTGAACTTGTTCCCTGAGCTTGATGTGAACATTGCTGAAGAAGATCCTACATTTACAGCACCAAAAATAGTCGAGAAAAGTTTACTGTTTCCTTGTGTAGGTGATCCAACCTGTGTTCAATACTTGGGACACACAGCTGGATATTATAGACTTCCTCACGCCAAAAGTGCAAGGTATTACTTGTATTTGTTATTTAGGTTTTGGGAACTTTTCTTGCAGTTTATCAGATTAGGTGAACAACTGCGTGTCCAATACAGAATTCTTTACATTATTACAGCAAAAAAAAACAACATAGAACACTTTTGGCATGCACCGACAAGTGAATCCTATTAGTCCAAAAGGCACCATGAAGAGCAACCAAAGTCAAGTTATGAAATTAAAATACGATTTCGTCATCCCTAATTATATCTTGTCATTCTCAATGATTTTATGAATAAATTCATGACTTATTCATATTTGCTTTATGAGGGAAATCTGTGTCAGACGGCTTGAAATATTGTTGCAGGATGTTCTATTATTTCTTTCAATCAAGAAACAAACCGAGTACCGACCCTGTTGTTGTATATTTAACTGGAGGACCCGGATGCAGCACGTCGCAGGCCATGTTTTATGTAAACGGCCCTTTCCACATAACAAACAACTTATCTCTTGTATGGAATAATTTTGGTTGGGATAAGGTACTCTCATTTTCCTCAATTCTCATTAAAAGTTTTTCGACTCAAAATGATAATTCCTGAAGGTGAGTCAATGTCTTGCCTCGACTCGACAGCGAAGGGATCTAACGAAAACTTCTCTTTTGCTTACCCCTATCCCAATAAACCGAAACCAAAGCTCTTACGTTCCTATTGAGAGTTAATTAGATAATAAAGCCCTCACCTCAGCACCGAAGTTTCTTCAAACCAACTAATGATGCTGTTTTTCAAGTGGAAAAATACATCTGTTCTTGCAATTCTGTACTCTTTTTTTCTAATTGTTCCTACGTCTATCTGGGAAGAAGCAATTCATTTGTGCGTTTCAGATATTTTCATGAATGATATGCTACGACAGGTGTCAAACATTATATATGTCGACCAACCAATTGGAACTGGTTTCAGTTATACTTCTGACAAAGATGACATACGAACAGATTCTCAAGAAGCTGCCGTAGATTTCTATGACTTTCTACAGGTAAGTTTCTTAGTCCAATCAGCTACAGGAAACTAGAAAATATTTTAGCTTATTTTCATATAATAAGGCCAGTCGTCCAAAACCATTAACTCGCTTAGACTAAACTATAATACTCATAAAATGTTAGGCATTTTTCGAAGCGCACCCTCAATATGCGAGGAACGATTTTTACATCACCGGAGAATCATATGCCGGGCACTACATTCCAGCTTTTGCTGATCGTGTACAAAAGGGAAACAATAATAAAGAAGGGATTCATATAAACATGAAAGTAAGCCTTGAATTTCATATCTATTGTTAACTAGTGACGTAGTTTTCCTTGTTTAGCTATGCAACTCATCAATGCTTAAACAGGGATTAGCTATTGGTAATGGATTGACAGATCCGGTGATCCAGTACAAAGCATATACTGATTTTGCTTTAAGCATGAAATTGATCACCCAATCTGATTATGACAGCCTGAATCAGCTAGTTCCCCAATGTATGCAGGGAATAGAACTCTGTGGTAACTCTTAATCCTAACTCCATCCCTTTCTAACATCTAATTCTGAATCTACGTCCTCGTGGGAAGTCTGCCTAATTTATAAGCACATTGGAGACCCTTCCAGTGGCTTCCTTTCTTGTGGGACCACGTTACAATCATGACAACCTCCGGAAGGTTACTTACAATGTGCTTATAAAACCACACGGCAAACCTTCCACAAGCAGTTCTCACTTGGATTCTGATAAAAAATTTATTGGCAGGCAATAGTAGTGGTCCGTCATCAGCTTGTTCCAAGGCTTTCGATGACTGCACCGGCATTTTCAATAGGATAGTTAAAATAAATGGTCAAATAAATGTAAGAAAACACATTAGTCAATTATCTAATCTAACAGAAAATTAAACTTATTAACCATGTTTTATCGTTTATTGTAGTACTTTGACATTCGAGAACGGTGTCCGGCGGGTCCTCCGTGCTACAACTTCTCGAATGTGCCAAATTTCTTGAACCAGGAGTCAGTTAGACAAGCACTTGGTGTTGGAGACATAAAATTTGTTACATGTAATCTTTCTGTATATGATTCGTTGAAAACGGACTGGATGAGGAATTACGAAGTTGTTATTCCTGCACTACTAGAGAATGGGGTCAAGTTACTTGTATACGTTGGGGAATATGATCTTATTTGCAACTGGCTCGGTAAAAAAAAATTTTCAACTCAGATTTAATGAATCTTTTTCTTAACTGAATTCTGACTATGAAAAGCATATGCAAGGTTTGTAATGTAATTGCTATAACTAAGCTTTATTATTGCCAGGAAACTCGAGATGGGTCGATGCTATGGTATGGTCGGGGCAGAAAAACTTTGTATCGGCACCTTCTGTTCCATTTAAGGTAGATGGAGTGGAGGCGGGGTTACAGAAAAGCTCTGAACTTCTCACTTTCCTCAAGGTCTATAATGCCGGTCACTGGGTTCCTATGGATCAACCAAAAGCATCACTAGAAATGATAAAGAGATGGTTGCAAGGCATTCCTCTATGAAGAACAACAGCACAAACCTCATTATTGTAATGATTTCTTAATAAAAGTTCCCTCAATTCATGTTCATTTGCCTATTGAGGGATTGGTCTAGAAAGATCTCTTGTTCTTATTCTATAGCTGAGATGGACTAAAAAGTTTTGCTTAATCACATGATTAAAGAATATTAACAATCTTGGATTTGGAATCCTAGTCCTTTCGTGGTTTGACAGAACTCCAAAATTTCTTTTCTTTTTAATTGCTTATTATAGTCAACAATAAGAATAATTCAAATCATATTTGTTTTGAATTAGAACTAATTTTAACTAAAGTAAAATAAGTAGAGTTATTGTGAGCTCAACACTCTATTCATCATTATATTACTTGTTTACTATCCATCCACTTGTAGGGATAAAATTAACAAGAAAGGATTTCAAGAAATGTTTTGATAATAAGTGAATGGTAGTTCTTGTGTTGTTGGACTTAATAATGGGTGGTTGTAATTTATTTATAAATTATAACTAGATTATAATTCTTTTTACAACAAACACTAAGGAGTAATAGCTAGATCTAGATAATTGGATCGGTACCATTAGAGTTCACCATTCACTAATGATTGTAATGTCTCAGTTCATACATGAAATTATGGAGGTATTTGCTTGCAACAAAACAAATATGCAACAAGACAGCGAGATTTGCATGAAGAGCTGGAGACGATCATGAACAAAAGCCAATATGAAATTAAGGTCTTCAACTTGAGACAAAAATGGTGCCAACCTTGGAAATGATGCACTTTATAATGCATCTATCAGTAATTACACTTGCAAAAATAGATTGCAGATGTAATAAACTACAAGGAATTCAAGAAAGTTATAGGAACAATCAGTAAAGAGGCATCAGTCATTGCTCTTAATTAAACCTCTGGGTCATTTTGTTTGACGTAAGACACAAACTCCTCATAACTTATTGAAATAATAACGTTATGTACGATTAGTGATGCTTAGCACTGGTATATGTAAAAGTGGTGCAAAACATCAACATTATTGTTTGATATGTTGGAATTTTTGGGATATTTATATGTGTGAATTGGCTAAGTCTTGAATTGGTGCAATGGATAGTCACTACTCTTCAATTGCAAATGGTGTATATCAAAGAGTTATTTAATTTGTTTCGGAATAGGTGTGTTCTTTTGATAAGGTGCAATCTACACCATTAAATATGAAATGGTACGATCAAGTGGTTGAAATTAATTTGTGCCAACACAAGCTATCATTCGAAGAGATATATGAAAATCTATAAATAGAACCCTCCTATTTCCATTTTCAACACTCCAAATCAATTCAAAATAATTTATTTC